TAGATCTAAAATTTTGAATTAAGATCTTTTGACACCCATCATGTGTGTCATATCATAATATGACACAATGTGATTTGAGGGTCTTGGGGTGCTCTCTTCAACCCCAAAGTGATTCCTACCAGCTACCCCCCTAACCTCCCTGGCCCCCTCATTAAGCGCATAACGCAAAATGGAAGGGGGCTAGGGAGGGTTGGGGTAGTGGAGGGTTAAGGGGTAGGAATTACTTCGGGGTTGAAAGGAGCACCGTAGGGCCCTCAAATGGCATTGAAACCCATAATGGGTGTCAAAAGAGCCCCAGCGTTAAATTTTAATGACAAACCAATCAAAGGAAATCTTTAAATGAAACCCTTAGGTTACAAGTAAAAAAAGTTCAAATCTTTTTGCTATTGAAAACAGTTTTTGAAATGAAACTCTTGTTTTAAACACTTATTTAATTTACCTATATGTCTTTGGTTCCTTAACTCTCAATACCAAATTAGCAACAAATATCCCATCTACTAGCATTTACAAAACCGAGCAGATGCAAAATAGTATAATAAAGCATGAGTCTTTCATGAACAGAGTGTAATACATATCATAAAGTGCATTATGAAGTACAAACCAGAAGCTTGGAGGGCAGCTCCAGATTTGATTAATGGTTCACCAACTGGATAGTAATCTTTAGTGGACTCAACAAACTGCTTAGCAGAAGACAGCAATGCCCATTTTTCACTTGCACAATAGTTATTATCATCACTTACTTTGGAGTTCTCCTCTACAAAAGTAGGATCAACACCAATGAGGCCATGGAAGAACTTGAAAAGAAAACCAGAAATTAAGCTTGATCGGTACTCGGGATAAGATGTGCCAGCTTTGGGAACCACGGTTACCTTTACTAGTTTAAGTGCTTCATACAAAACATTGACATTTATTATTTTTCCCACTAAATAACACTCGACCTTTCTTGCACGTATTGCACGTTCTGTCCCAAATGCTCCAAAAGCCAGGCAGATATGATTTACCAAATAACCATCTTTGGTCAGACTAACATCTGCCAAGAAGGCAGCATTTGCATATGGCAATGCATTTCCAAGGGGTCGGGGTGAAGCCCAATAAGTTTCGAACATCAATGTGGGGACTAGAGCACCGGTTTTCATCGGTTCCCAAAACGGGATCCACACACTCAGTAGCACGGTACTTGACCAGTCAATTGTTGGCCTTTCAAGGAATTCCTCCAATGTGAGCTTCTCACGCGTGTGACCCATCATTAGAGTAACACTTGACCCCAGAGCAAGAAGCAAAGTAGATATATCTGACGGGAACCCATTCTTCTGTGCCATGACCAAATTGCCCCCAACACTAGCCGAGTTCCTAATGAAACCTGTGTTGAAGTATAGAAAATCGTAAATTATAGAAATACAATAATCCTAGGGGTGTTGCTAGATCCACCCCCCAAAATGGCTATATCCACACCTTTTACCAATATTTGCTATATCCACACCCATTTATATTAAGTTTATATTGGTGTGGATTTAGCAAATTTATGTGAAAGGGGTGGATATAGCCATTTTTGGAGTGGATTTAGCATCACCCTAATCTTAGTTTTAGTATTATAGTTTCCTATTTTCATTCTAGGTTGCACGGATTCTTCAACTGCCTCTTCCCGCCCCCGAAACGTGCCCGATCGGTTACTTGGGGACTTCCCGATGCCCAAACCCTTTATAAATTTTGGGAAATTTCCATTTTCAGGCTTCCGAACTCGTCCCAGCATAAGTACACGTCCCGTCTTGGGCAACTTAGTTTTCATTAGGTTTAGGGTTTAGGTTTCCTATTCCCATTAGGGTTGATCCCATTATTTCTCTATATGTAAGGATTGTAATCATGTCCATTGCCAATGGAGCTAAAATAATTGTAATTGGCAATGTTTTAGCTTTGGGTAAACAATGGACAAAATCAAAATGACACATTAAACTTCCTTGGCTTCTTACTCATAGAGACGTTTTGGGTAGTAAATGCATCAAGGGTCTAATGAATACAGTCTCTGTATTTTACAGGAGCAAGGTTGCATACATCTTGACCCCTAGACCCCAATGAAGCTGGACTATATGGAGTACCGGGTTGTTGTTATGCAAGCATTGTAATACTTCGTAGTATTTAAAAAAGACTCTTCAATAAAAGTAGTACTTTTTCATTCAACAACCTGGGCCAATTTTCTCCATATGATCAGCAACTTTTTTGAAGATCAAACCACCCGATGAACATGAATCGACTTTACTTCCCTCCCTTATGAATAAAATCAATTTAGAGATAGTAACTGCAGATCCAACTTCAATTCCTGTGTGGTCCCTCTTAGTTTCCGAGAGTTCCGGGATATGCCTAAGGTCAACGTATTTGTCACACTCTTCAAGTTCTTTGTAATACCCCCTTCCGGTATTACCCACAACCAATTTAGTGTGTTCCCTGTTTTCAGCCACTTTACTTCCCAGCAAGTCTTGTAGCTCCTCCAAACTAATGGGACAGTACCAAGGGTATCTTTGGGAGTCCAAACGAATAGCAGACTTGCGTTCAGATTTCAAAAACTCGGGATATGTAGAGATGTTGCTATTACTTGGATCATAAAAAGGTAACTTTTTAATTTTCACTTCCCTGCTATCCTCCTTTTTCCAAAAAGAATTGAACCCCAAATCTTCAATATCAATATCAGCAGCAAAGCTTTTGCAGGCATCCGCTATAGGACGATATCCGGTACAACGGCAAAGATTCCCTGAAATAGCCCTTTCAGCTTCAGACACTGTCAGCTTGGAAAATCCCGGTGGGGGTTCAGGCCGATGAAGTTTCTCAGCATTGAGAAGAGCAGTGAACAGTGAAACGCATATTCCGGGGGTGCAAAACCCACATTGAGAAGCATGAAAACCAGCAAACCTTTGGTGAATTGGGTGGAACCCGTTTTTTATGTTTCCAATGCCTTCACTTGTTGTAATTGAACAGCCATTTATACTGCCAAGAAGGGTCAGGCATGAACTGACTGTGTAATTTTCTACACGTTCATTCCCGGTGTCATACTTTGAGAGAAGGACTACACATGCTCCACAACCACCTGCAATGGTTTTAAACTTGATCATTTAGTGTTCATTCTCTTTTTTCCTCATTGAACCATGTAGTGCTTAAACTTAAAGATAAATTATAGGGTGTTTGACAATCAAGCTCATTGTGTTGCACTTTGTCCAAAAAATACAAAGTTTTTGGTCCAAAACTTGTACTTTCTAATGGTGCAAACTAACTTTGAAAACGCTATATCTAAAAAGCTAAAAGAATTCACTCGAATCTTCAAAACTACGAAGCTGGTGCCAAACGGAGCCTAATTCGAACGAACAGATCTACCAACTAAGGTAGATCGAATCAGATGGTTCTACAACTTCAACAAAGAACCAAATACCCAACGAATGAAACAGGGAAGAAATCACAAGCCAATCCACACACACACACACAAAAACACACGTTTCTACATACAGAAATAAATTGAAGAACTAATAAAACGTTCAATTTCATACAGAGATATGGAAAAGGGCACCTTCACCGCAGCCGAGTTTGGGGCTCTTGAAGCGAGTGTGGGAGCGCAAGAAGTGAAGCAAAGTAGTGGAAGGGGGAGCAGAAGAAGGCGCGAGCTCGAACTTCTCCCCATTTACAGCAAAAATCAAGCTTCCATTTCCTCTGCTGCTAACACCACGCATCTCTTTCAGCTCGTCCATTAGACCGTCTGTTTGTCCTAATGAAAGTGACTTTTAGTTCGGAGTATTACAGTGCGGGAATCTATAGATTCCAAAGGATGAGCCCTTCCTTCACTCATTTCCACTCTCTTCAATTGATTTGAGATCAAAATTTGATTCCAAAATCAAAATTATCTTGGCAATGTAATTGAAGGGTGTGGGGTGCAATTGAAGACTAATGATGCATAACACATTGACTTAAACAACTAACCATCAATATATTTAGGTAGGGCTAGTCATGGAAATTCAAAAGCACAAGAGGAGAAGTGAAAAATGGTCTTTAGCCTTCACAAATTAAGTTAAATTACATTTGAACTAATTATTATTTTTGAGCATATAAGCTAATTTTGTTTAAACGGAAATTAACCATGACTCAAATTCAATGACTTATCGAAATAAATTGAAGGAATCATATGTTTTAAAGACTTAATCTTACAACAACAAAAATTTACAACAAATGTTACAATACTCTGTTTGGAGTATCCACCGTATCTCGTTCATAAAATTGATTGTTCTTACCCTTCTAACACCTCCGGCGAACCTTCAAGCCGACTCAACCTTAATGCACTCCCGCACACCCTTCAATTGCACCACATCTCATTTTGATCAAATATTTGACCATAAAGTCAACTGAATGAAAAGTGATGCGATTGGAAGGGGTGTAGGGACTGACCGGGCTTGAAGAGTCTACCGTAGGAGTTAGAAGAGATATGAATAATTAATTTTATGAATGAAGATCCGTAGATACTTCAATTAGAGTGCCGTAATTTTTGTTGTTGTAAGATTATTAAGCCTCCTTTTTCTCTTTTTAGCTTTTTTTTTGCTCATCATTCTTTTCTTCAACTTAACCAAACATGAACCATTCTTTTCCATACTCCTATTATTATTATTATTATTATTATTATTATTATTTAATTCGTTGAATCAAAGATAGTAGTACGTGTTAGGGAAAAGAGAAACTAAACCACCATGAAAATAAAGGTATATCTTGTATTATCATCCAAGAATTCAATTAAACCCCAAGATAGATAGACTACACCCCTACATTTCTGATTAAAAAATGAAGATTATTCCATCCCTCCGTAAATATTCTTCCAATATTACTTTTTATGGTCTCTAAAATTATATTTTGACAACGAATATTTTTATTTGTACATAGATATATTTTATAAAAATTTGATGTTTGAAAACTACGTTTCAATAAGAATATATTAAAATTAAAATTATATCATAATACAATGTTTTTTTACGAGTCAAAGTTTACAAAATTTGATCGTGAAAAATCAAATGAGAAGAACATTTTCGGACGAAGTAAGTATATATTCTCTTCGATGGGGTGTTTTATTTCTTAGCTTGTTGTGTGTGTATATATATATATATACACCGGGTGTAAATTAACCCAACTACAATATAGCTCCAAGATCAAACATCAAGAAAAGAAAAGAGTTGAATTAATTAATGGCATCAATAACTAATGGGGAATCCGTTGTTGGGGTTAATACTTCACAAGGAAGCATCACAATATCTTTTGATGTGCGAGGTAACTATATCTTTTTTCCCATTTATTAAATTAATATTTTTTTTGGAGATAAATTAATCTCTTAGTCCCTCCGTTCGAAAATGTTCTTCCCATTTGACTTTTTACGATCTTCAACATTGTACTTTGACCACTAATATCTTTATTTATACATAGATATATTTTATAAAAATTTGATATTTGAAAATTATATTTCAAAATGAATATATTCATATTAAAGTTATATCATATCATAATACAATACGGAGTATATTTTTTCCACATATCATAGTCAAAGTTTACAAACTTTGACCAAGAAAAGTCAAATGAGAAGAATATTTCCGGACGGAGGGACTATATTTACAGACTACGATAGATATATATTACATCCGTCTCTGAGTATTTATCTAGTTTTGACATTTTGCAGTTATTTATTTTCAATTTTTAATATATAATTAAATAAAATATACCCCCTCCGTCCCAAAAAGTCTTTCACATTTCAAAAAAAAGGTGTCCCACAACTTTCTTCCCATTTCTATTAAAAACCACTTTTACCCCGTATTTTTCCATACCTTACTTATCACATAATACCTTTTTCCTAATAATCTACACATTACATCCTAAATTTATCCTTAACATCAAGTTTTTTTTGAAAAGTCAATACAAAATTATCCCTCTATTATTTTGTCACTTTAGTCAACTGTCCCTCTCTTTCTGGAACGGAGAGAGTATATGGTAAATTAATATTTTTAAAAATATTTTCTATATATAATAAATTTAATGGAATTATCCCTCGGTTTCATCACATATCACTTCCGTCTTAGCTATTAATATTCTTTCGGGCACACCATAAAATACTTCTACTCCACCTAAAATGTTTTAAGTATATTTTCAAAATGACTTCTACCCGCAATAAACAACGAACGAGCATTGCGCTAAAAAAAAAGTTGCGTTTTCGAGCATTCATCCGTGTGTGTGCAGGTTTGAGGAAGGAAGAACTAAAAATAGAGTGTATTCAAAGAAGGAGAGGGCGAAACAAAGTGAGGATAAGAGGAGAAAGGTTTGAAGAGGAGATAGTCTTTTCTGAAGATTGGGACGCCGGTGATATTCATGCATTGTTTCACAATGGAATTCTCACTCTCAAACTTGTCAAGAACAAGACCTCTAACACTACTAGTGCTCTAGCATCATCTTCATCATCATCATCAATATTATCTAATAATGACGACGATGATGAACGAGTAACTGAAATCAAGATTTCCGAGGAACAAGGAAGAGGAGGAGGTAGTGATACCAAACATACTGTCATGACCGCAGAGGTTGGCTGCTGGCTTTTTCCCTAGACCTATATAACTACAAGATTTCGAGTTTGAAACCCATCGTTTAGAAAAATATTCCCTCCGTCCCTTAAACTTTTTTTTTTCTTTCTTTTTTTTCTTGTCCCACGCGAACACTTTCTTTTTTTTTCCATCAAAAAAACAACTTTTACTCATATTAATTCTTACCCTACCCATCATATCATACATTTTTGCTAAATAACACATCTATCAAATCCTACTCTTACCCATCACTGTATCAAAGGTATTTTTTGAAAGTCAACATAAAAATATCTATCTCTTAAATTTTCACTAAAAAAGTCAACAAGGAAGAACTTTAAGGAATGGAAAGAGCGATACTTAAGATTCCACGTGCAAAGTTCGAAGTGACCACAACTACATGTGAAGGGCGTGTTAAAAATTACGTATATTCTTTTAAGGAAAGCCTTGCAAGGCAAAAAAACATTAATTAATTAATTAATTACGGAGTAATTAATTAATTAATACTTTGTCCTTCCAACTATTTTCAGCAAATACTTTATGATGTTGTGCATAGGGAAGATGCTGACACCCTTATTGTCTCTTTGCCATCAGGTAATAATACTCCGTAATACAAACACTCTCCCCCTCTTTTACTCATTCCCTCCCTAAAAAAAATATGTTTTCTTTTTTTTATTTATTCCCAAATGATTTTTTATGTTCAATTATTTACCTCTACTAACTAATTCTTATTTTATCTATCACATTATGTTTATTCATTAATAATCTATCTATCATATCAAGTTTTATAAATGGTCAATATTTCTCACCTTAATTTTTGAAAAAGTCAAAATAGGAAGGAGATTTAGAGACGAAGTATTTTGTATACCATCTCTCCCAAACAAAGGAAATTCCCATAGTACTCGTTCATTTGGATTTTTTCGAGCCAAACTCGACGAAGCTTAACTATTAATTACATTAAATTTACATTACATAATTACAGAACGAAATATTAATTTGTGATGGTTTTTTTGCAAGATAAATCCCACTACTAAACCATTTTTATAACTACTACTTCCTCCGTCCCGTAAAACATGGGACTTTTACTTTTTAGGAGTGATTTAATGGTAGTGTATTTTGGTATTGAATTTCCAAAAATGTTCTTTGATGTGATGAGTAAAAGTATAATTTGATGGATAAATTATTAGTAAAAAGGAATGATGTGATAGGTAGGGTATAAAAAAGTAAAGGGTAAAAGTGACTTTTTAATAGAAATGAGAAGTGTTTTGTGGGACGGATGAAAAAAGAAAGGAGAAAGGTTTTATGGGACGGGGGGAGTAATAATAATAAAATCCAGTACAATTTTTAATCTTTAAATGGTGATGAAATAGTACATTATTTTTGTGATCAATTGTGATGCATGACATGCATGCATGCATACGTACAGGATTGTTAAAGGAGCAAATAAAGCTTCAATTACTCAGAAAAGAGAGCCTGAGGATCCTCCTCTTCTCCCATCATTCTAAATGGATCACCCTACAAAAAGAGTTCCCCCTCCCACCGGATTGCCACAAAAACAGCATCAAAGCAAAGCTCGCAGGCGGCGACATTCTCTACGTCATCTTTCCGAAAAAACGTAACGATCCGTCGACGGCGAAACCGGCGGCGGTGGCGGATTCTGGCGAGACGACCGGTGGCCGCCGGAAAAGACGGAGAAACAACGAAGAGGAGAAAGTTATCACGGAGGTGGTAGGCGGTGACGGCGATTATGGTGAACAGATTAAAGCAAGAAAGGTGATGAAGCTTCGGCGGCAGCCGCCTATGAAGTGGTTGAATGTGGCGGCGGCTGTGGCGGCCCTAGCGGTGGTTGCAGGTGTTGCCATGTATATGTCAACACCATAAATAGTTATATATGTAATCCTTGTGTAAATGTATTTATTCGGGTCAAATTGGTCTATATATGTATGTTGCACCAAATTCATCAATTGGTCCTTATAACTAAAAAAAATGTGAATTAATTGAGTCATATGTCAAAGTTTATACTCTCTGTAGTTTAATTTCCAAATGTGTGTTGCAAACAAATTGTACGTGCTTCCTCTTCTCTCATACTCCGTATAATTTTTCAATTACGCAAAACTAGGATTTCATTCGCACGTTGGATGGGATATGTTAATTCTATAAGTTGAGATAAATATAAAAACATTATTTTTAATTTTTTTAATAATACCAAAAAATATTTTTTTTAGTATAACCGATATACGATATCCTTGAATAGGAAAAAAAAGTCAATGTATATAAATATATTCATTATTAATTTCTAAATTTAATCAGCAATGCATACAAAATATACATTTTTATTATTTGTGACATTTGTGCATTATATCTCACCAAGTGAACAAAACGATTTTAAACAATAAATTATAATTATTTTATTGTAATGACAGGTATATAAATTAAAATTAAAACTTATTTTTATTAAATAAGCAAGGAGTGAAAAAAAAGTGATATAAAAAAGAATTGGCAAAAACATTTATTTTATTAAATAATCAATCAAAAAATAATTAATTAAACAAAACTTTCCGTGACGTTTGCTTAACGAAGAGTGCATTCTTTTTTAGACGGAGGGAGTAAATTTGACGAGGAAAGCTTGAAGTGCAAGTGGCTAGTACATACGTCTCCAACTGCAATAAAAAACAACAAAACAAAAAGAACTTTGGGAAAAGGGAAACACCAAATATAATGGAAGGATTAAGCTATTTATAAACCAAAATTTGTACCATATTTTGTATCCTAAAGGCATCACCGATATTTTGTGTTAGTGTAATTTTAGTGTGATGATTTACATTGACAAAAAATATTAGTGCAACTTTTATTAATTGAAATAACATTTTCGATCTACAAGCGTGAACCGTTAAAATGTCGATCCATTTCTTTTGGGGTATAACTTGAAGTACATTTTTGATGTACTTCTAGCATGGTTGATAATGGAAAGAAAAGTATAGTACGTATACGTACCTAACATACGTATAGCTATTCTAATTCCCAAGATATCCCATGCAAGAGTACGTTGGCATCATTTAATTAATACGTGATATCATACTTTTATCCATCACTATATCAATGGTATTTTTTTGAAAGTCAACACAAAAATATCTCTCTTTAAATTTTAGATAAAAAAATCAACAAGGGAAGAACTTTAATGGATGAAGGGAGTAAATTAAGATTTTACATGCAAAGTTCGAAGCGACCACAACTACATGTGAAGAAGATCTATATTAAACAATTAAGAATTCATATTCCCTCTGTTTCATAATATTTTACACTTTATGCAAAACGAACCGAAATTTCAATATTTTTAAATTATTTTATTTAAAGATGAATATATAAATTAAATAAAAAAAACTTCCATTAGAGATTCTACAAAGCAAGTGACAAAAACATTTTATTTTATTTTAAAAATCGGTATATAAATTAAAAATAAAACTTATTTTTCCTTCCTTTGGTCCTAAAAACATGGAAGTTATTGATTTTTAAGATATTTAAGGAAAATGTATTTCGGTATTGAATTTCCAAAAAAAATCCTTTGATGTGATGGGTAAAAGTAGTATTTAATGAGTAGATTATTAGTAAAAAAGTATAATTTGATAGGTAGGGTATAAAAAAGTAAGAGGTAAAAGTGACTTTTTAATAAGAATAAGAAATATTTTTTGTAACAGATGAAAAAAGAAAAAAGAAAAGTTTTCAGAGACAGAGGAAGTATTAAATAAGGAAGAAGTGGGGACAACAAAAAAGACTTTGGGAACAAAGAGGGAAACCATAATGGAAATAAGGTATAGTACGTGCGACGTACGTACGTATACCTATTTGAATTCCCAAGTAAGAGTTGCATTTCATCTGAATATAATACGGAGTATAATTATTCTCTCTTTGGCATCATTTAATTAATAACTTCTTGTTGTGCTTATATAAACGCATGTATATATGTATGTATGTATGTATATATATATATATATATATATATATATATATATATCCAACTAACCAATATAATTAAGAGGTGAATATACATAATAATCGTAGAATTATATTATATACTCCGTATATTGAAGAAGCCAAGTAGCAGAAAACAAGAGAGAGAAAGGGTTGAATTAATTAATAAATGGCATTATCATCATCATCAGCTGCCATAGTTTATGAGGATTTTGAGCCCCAAGTTGTGTTTTCACAAGAGAAAGACGGTAGTGCCATCTTATATGAGGTTCATTTACCAGGTACTACATCCGTCCCATTTTAAATTGCATGTTTGTCTTTTTTCTCCGTCCCAGAATAAGTTGCCTGTTAATTATTTTCGTAAACTTTAAAGAGTAAAATACCTAATCTACATCTAAAACAAGTCACTCTTACTACATTATCTTATTATTCATCATGATCCCTCCTAAATAATGCTGGCAATTTCAAAAAATCAACTCATTTTTTATTTTCTTTAAATATGCACAAAAGTCAAAATGGGCGATTTAAAACGAGACGGAGGGAGTAAAATATACTCCCTCCGTTCCACAAAACACTTCCGTTTTAATTTTTTGCGCAGCCCATAAAATACTTCTATCCCACCTAAAATGTCTAAAATACCCCCAAAATAACTTCTACCCGCAATAAACTACATAGTGGGGTGTATTATAGATATTTTAGGTAGGAGTAAAAGCGTTTAGTGAGGTGCGCAAAAATTTAGGATGGAAGAGTTTTAAAAAACGGAAGGAGTATTAATTAGTTTTATTATTAGCTATTACGATATTTTAGTAGTATAATATTTTAATTTAGTTATATGTATTATTATTATTATACACCCTCCATCCCATGAAGATAAAGATGGTTTGACTAAAGTGGTAAAATAAGGATGGATAATTTTGTGTTGACTTTTCAAAATATCCTTGATGTGATGGGTAAAAGTAGGATGTGATGTGAAGATTATTAAAAAAAGGTATGATGTGATAGACAAAGTATGAAAAAGTAAGAGGTAAAAGTGGTTTTTTTATAGAAATAAGAATGACTTTAAGGAGCGCAATTTTTTTTTGAAACGGAAATGACTTTATGATACGGAGGGAGTATTCATTGGGAAATTTACTTAAATAGCACTAAAATATAATGACTTTCTTTAAATAGCATCACATGTGTTTTTTTCCTAATATAGTACTTTTAATCATTATCCATTAGTCATTATTCAAATAAATTTTTGTCATCACTAGACATTATGGACATTATTAATTGCTATTTAGAGAATAAAACAGTTTAAGTGTTCTTTAAGAAAATGACTAAAGTTTTAGTGTTATTTATTGCAAATATTTCTTAATTGTTAGTATTTTTTTAAAAAACACTCCCTCCCCGTCCCTAAAAAAACTTCTTGTTTTATTTTTATTTGCTCGTCCCCCCCCCCCTCAAATACACTTCTATGCCATTTATTCTATATATCTAATCAAACAACGTAAGGATACTTAGGCTCTGTTCCGTACGCCTGATCTGATTGCATCTGATCTGAATTTTTGAAGTTCTGATCTGTTCTGATCTGATTGAGTCTGATCTGATCTGATTGAATCTGATCTGATCTGATTAGATCTGATCTGATCTGATTGGATCTGATCTGATCTGATTGAATCTGATCTGATCTGATTGGGTCTGATCTGGTCTGATTGGATCTGATCTGATTTGATTGAATCTGATCTGATCTGATTGGATTTGATCTGATCTGATTAGATCTGATTTTCTCTAATTAGATCCGGTGTAAATGAATTTAAATTTGATTTAAATTAAACTTAAAATTATTACAAAATTTAATAGTTTTAAAGTATTACAATTCATATATACATAAAAAAAGTAAAATAAGAAAATCAACTATTCATTAATATGTTTAAACTTTTTTTAAAAATATTAAACATCTTTTCAATATCACAACTTTTTTAATTTTTGTGAAAACTAAATAATCGGTATTAAAATAAAAAAATATTATTTAATCCTTGAAAAATTATAATATTAATTAAGATTTAGGTGTGTGTAGTTTTAATTAAAGTAATGTGATTTAATCAAATAATAGTAATTATTATTTAATCCTTGAAAAATATAAATATTATCTTTTATATTTTTCTTGATTTGATATTATTGGATTTGATCTGGTCTGATCTGGTCTGATTGGATCTGGTCTGATCCGATTGAGTCTGATCTGATCTGATTGGATCTGATCTGATCTGATTGGATCTGATCTGATCTGATTGAGTCTGATCTGATCTGATTGAGTCTGATCTGATCTGATTGAGTCTGATCTGATCTGATCTGATTTTAATAAGAATAAGTAATAAGTAGAAAAAATAAGTCCTACGGAACGGACCCTTAGCTTAATTAATCCACTACACGATCTATAACTATTCGAATATATATAATAAAAAATGAATTGAATACAAACTTTGATATATATTGAATTCACATTGTGGGTTATGCAGATTTCTCAAGGGAAGAAATAAAGGTCATAGTAACAGTTCAAAGGAGAGTGAAGGCCCAAGGAGAAAGACACAGTCCTGTAAAGGGCGCAGAAAATAAATGGATGAGGTTTTGTGTGGAGCGCCCCATCCCACAAGGGTATGACCAAGACAAGATTAGTGCCATGTTTAAGAGTGACATTCTAACTATAAAAATTCCCAAAATAAGAACAATAGATTATGTTAATGATGATGATGATGATACTGACTATGATGATGATGATGATCACAAGCCTAATAATGTTAAAGAATATGAGGAAGGCAAAGATAATCAACTGAAAAATGATGCCAAAAGTGAAAATGGTGACTTGAAAAATGATGCCAAAAGTGAAATTGGTGACTTGAAAAATGATGCAAAAAGTAGTGAAGAAGAACAAAATGGGGCAAAGAATGGAGTGCCTATTGCCAAGCAGGTGGAGATGAAGATGAGGAAGTTTGGGAAAATGGTGTTGAATACTTATAATGATAATTCTAAGGCTAATTTGGGTAGTCTGTTTCTGGTTTTGGGTGTCAGCATTGGCATTGCACTCTATGTTAAGAACATATATAGTACAAGTAGCTTGTACAAGTAAGATTATTAATATTAATTTGGAGTAGATCACAAGAAGGTGAATATATAAAGAGTGGATTTCAACGCCTCGAATTTGCCTTTTTAACGCCTTGAATAAAATAATATTCTATCTCTTCACTTTGTTTTCTTCTCATTTGCCTTTTTAACGCCTCGAATTTGTGATCATAATTTGTTGTGTTTTTTTCTCTAATTTGCCATCAAACTTTTTATATATTGATAAAAAAAAAAGTAAAATGAGACGAACGAAATGAATAGATCACATTTAGTGAAAGGATTGTATCATATAATCAATAAAAATAGATAAATAAACAAAAATTCATGTAATTTTTTAATAGTGAAAAGTGTAAACTACAAATAGATTTATTTACAATCAAAAATGGTCCGCACTATCTATTTATCTATAAACTACAAATAGATTTATTTACAATCAAAATGGTACATCAAATATCGTGAAAGTCAAATAGACAATCATATCTAAATTTACGCAAATGAGACTTAAACATATCACTTTTTTCTAAATAGGACTAGTCCTATCTACTCTAACGTTTGACAATGGAAAATTTAAAAATGCCATGTCTTTGAGAAAAATGACCAATTGCACAAGTTAAGTAGAATAAGTTAAGTAGAATAAGACATTATTAAAACAATTTGAATAGTCATTGAAATAATCAATCATTATCTAACATTTGTTGCTAATGACCACATTCGTAGAGTCATTCGTATAATCAGTCATTATCCACACTTGTTGCTAATGAGGGCATATATGACAAATCATATGAAATTATGTGTCATAAAAAGAATAAAACATATTCGGCCCTATTCCGGGAAACATACTACTTTTTAGTCCTATATGAAGCAAATTTTTCTACTAATAATAACTGTGAGCTACATATTCCGTTCTTTAAAAGTAAATGTGAGAACTGAGAAGTATATACTCGGGTATAAATTTAATTTTAGGATGTCGAAAATAAAAAATTTAGGATGTTCGAAAATAAAAAAAGTGATATTAATATTAGAACACGAGAGCACATGATCTAGTGGGTGCATGCATACTTTATCCCTACTCAAAGAATATGAATGATGCTTCTAAGAAGAAAAATAAAACAAGTGCTCCCTCTGTCCATGATTATATGATTATCTGTCCACTTTTGACTTTTTTTCAGTCAAAATTGGTAAACTTTGATCTCAAATTAAATAAAAATGATATTAGATATTGATACAAAAATAATTTTATTAGATTTATTACATCAAATGTTCTCAAAATATTATTTTATCTAATTAATATACAATATATATCTTATTTAATTATATGTCAAAGGTTTATAATTATTGACCGGAAAAAATCAAAACTGGACAAATACTCCAGAACGGAGGTAGCATAAAACTAGAAAAAAATAATAACAAAAATAATAGAGTTAAAAAAATACCCATAGTACATGATTAGAAGTTTAGAAAACAGAAAATGTTATGAACAACATATTCTTTTCTTTAGAAAGAAAATATGAAGAGTATAACTTGAATTTTGGGAAGGGGAGGGAATATACTAAGTCTCACAAAACTTTAGGAAAAGAAAAAAGCAACATAAAAGTATATATCATTATCCAAGAAATCCCAAGAGTACATTTGTTTTTTTTTTAATTTGGAGATTCTCTAACTATCTATGTGTATGGATGTGTGTTTTCTTTGTAACCAAATCTTGTTCTGTATTATATAAACCCAACTAACAGAGCACACATTGAATCATATCCCCCCCACACATTCAGAAGAAAATCATCATATACTTGAAGAGGAAAAGAAAAGAGTTCTGAAAATGGCACAAAAAGCTTATGAAGATTTTATACCTAAAAGTGAGGTTTTAGGAGAGACAGATGCTACTGCCCCTACAGTCATTAATATTTATTTGCCAGGTAATGAATTTCATCTTCTTCTCCTTGGGGTGAACATATAAATATTATGTTTGTATGACCATTTTCTCATAGGCCAAAATAAATAAATAAATAAATAAATAAATAAATAAATAAATAGAGATTATCATTTCATGATATATACTTGTAATAAGATGAGGATGCTTGTATCTGCAGGTTTCAAGAGGGAAGACTTAAAGGTTTCACTTGGTCAACCAGCCAAACCAAGGAGATTGATGATGACAGGAGTAACACCTATAGGGGGTGGTAAAAAATGGCTCAGGTTTATAAAAGAGTTCCCAATTTCACCAGATTGCGACACGGGCAAGATTTCGGCGAAATTTGACAAAGAAATTCTGAGCATCACACTACCAAAGAAGACCGCTAGCGTGCAAAAACCCGATGAAACGAAGGAGAATAAAGAGAGTGGTCAAGGGCAGCAGGCAAAAGGACAAACAGACACTACTAATAGCTCCCAGCAAACCACAAAGGGTGTTGATCCTCTTGAACATAAACCCGATCATGATCAAAACCCAACCAATGGCTCTGTTCAAGACACAAAGAACAAGAAAACTGAAGAACCCGCGGCTCCCCAAGTGAAAGGAAAGGCTGGCATTTCAGAAGAGGAGCCGAAACCGGAAGAGTCAAAAGGACAAACCAACACTACTTCCCAGGCAAGCGCAAAGGTTGTTGCTCATCCAGAGACAAGGGAAGAGGAGAGCTCTGAGGTTGGTCAAGGAGGGTCAGCTTCTGAGCCTCCTCCTCCAAAGCCTCAAGAGACAAACAAGAAAGCTGAAGAGCAGAAAAGTGGTGAACCCGCAAGTCCCCAAGTAAATGGAGAGGTTTCAAAAGAGGTGCCGAAACAAGAAGAGCCAAAGAGCCATGTACAACAGGCAAAACAACTTAATGAAGTGAATGGTGCAAAGAGTGAAACTACTACCGATGGCAATGAGAAAGAAGAAGGGGATACCAAAAATGCAGTCAAGAGGAAGGGCTATGAGTGTACCTTTGCCGAAACGAAGCTGAGGAAGCGCGTGAAAATGTTGAATTTGGCTCTGGCGGTTTTGGCTGGCATTGGCATTGGACTGTATGTTAAGAACATGATTAGATCCTATGGTGGGGAGGCTGATGAGTGAATATCCTGTTAGCCTTGGTTTGCTGAATCTAAGGCGTGGACAAAACGAGTAACATATCCTGCACAACTAGAATTGTGAATCACACAACTTACATGCGATTGATTTTATATTTATTGAATGTAATGTAATAACATGCATTTAAAAAAAATAACAACATTAAGGTAATTGCATGGATGGAAGCACTTAAGGCATTTATTTCTCAACACTTGAAAAATGATTGTGTCATTACAGATGAGTATCTTCATTTTAAGAGCACACAGTTCAATATTCTTAATTTTAAGTTTTTTTGTAAAATTTGTAATAAATAGGACTAAAACATACTCCCTCCGTCCCTAAATAAACTTCCCTTTTTGACTTTTTGAGGATTTAAGGGAGGGATATTTTTGTGTTGACTTTCCAAAAATACCCTTGATGTAATGTGTAAAAGTAATATGTGATATGTAGATTATTAGTAAAAAGGTATGATGTGATAGGTAGGGTATGAAAAAGTAAGGGGTAAAATGGGTTTTTTAAGGGAAAAGAGAAGTTTATTTGGGGACAAAAAAAATGAAAGTGGAATTTTATTTAGGGACGGAGGGAGTATAAGTCATTTCTTAATATAGGACTTAAACTTTTCTATTCCCTAAATAAGACTTAATAATAATGTCTTATGGGTGAATAATGTCCAATGATGATGGACATTTATTTCAATAATGACCAGTGATCCTACATTGGGAAATAAAAACATATGGTCATATATTGAGAAAGTCATTATGTTTTAGTACTATTTATGTAAATTTCTCAAGTTTTTTTCTAAACTCTTCATTAATAGGGAAAAGGCGCATGGTATCAAATCCAAGCTGAGCTCGTGTTATCGTTGCGAAATTACAAATAAAAATATATGATAAATTAATTCATTTAACAATTCAATATTTAATGTTGACTCTATAATTGTAAATAAAAAAAATTGGGAAAAAATATTTTATCGCATGAATTATGACACAACTTCAAAAGTTTTGTGGTATTATTGACCTTAATATTAATAATAATAATAATAATAATAATAATAATTGTAATAATAATAATTGTAATAAAATAACATTAAAAAACACTCCTTAATAATTTTCTAAAGCAATTGTTGTAATAAACTTGAAGAAGTTAAAAGAAAGCGGAACTTCCTTCCAATTTTTTTAACCTCTTCACTCTCGAAGAGATAAAAACCTGTTCTTTAGGACTGGAAAAAAAAGAGCTGGATGCTGGAATAAACTGGGAGGAGCTAGAAAAAACTAGAAGGAACTGGAAGAAACTAGAAGAAACTGAATGAACCGGAAGAAACTGAAAGAAATTGGAAAAAAATTGAAAAACTTCAAAAAATTGGAAAGCCTAAAAAAAATTTAAAAAACTTATTTTAGTGTATTTTTATATTATTCTCATTCTAATTCTTGTTGTTATAAATTATTATTATCATCATCATCATCAACATCATCACGTTATCTTAATGAATGCCTTTAAGATAAAAAAAAAAGTTGTTATTTTTCATACACAAAATAACTACTTTTGCAAAAAAAATAATTATAATATAAAGGTAGCATAAATATCAAAATAATAAATTATAAAGAGTTATTGTGGTTATGTTGCACCTCAATTTATTTATGCAGTATTTATTATAAAATAATATATTTGTAATTACACTTTATATATGACAAGATTTTGTTTTAAATATCAGACATGTCACATAATGTATCAAACATATTCTTTCTTTCATGATTGACATTTTATCTTCATTGTAACTACTATTTTTGGACTAAAGACATAGAACTTTTATTTTCGTACATTTTTTATATTTTACTTCTATTTTTGTCTTTTTCTTTTAACTATTTGGATTCAATTTTTTTTTAAAAAAATTAGAAAAATGAAAAACAACATTAAATTTTTAAATAAATAAAAATGAGAAAAAGTTGAGTAATAAAAAGAGAGGTGAGAGGTCTTGTATAAAGTTAAATTAATAAAACATTCTATGTAACTATTTTATCCATAATTTTTAATATAGTTTAAAATATTGATGTTTTCCTATTTTATCATGTAGATTAATATACAAAAAAATGTCTTATAAAAAGTTGAATAAAAAATATAATAATATTAATGAGTGTGAATCGTAAAAATAGTGAGATGAAAAAAATAATTTATAAATTATAGTTATGAACATAATAGTTGTAATAATAATAATAATCACATTAAAAATATATTGTTTTTAGAGTAATTAGTTGGGGAATAGAAAGGGTTTGAAGAAAATGAGAATAGCTGAAAAAAACTGGAAAGAACTAGAAGAAATTAAAAAAAACTAAAAGTTAAAAGTTTAAGTTCTAAAAAACATGCTCTAATAAAAAACTGGAAGGAGTTGGAAAAACTAAAAAGAGTTGAAAGAAACTTGAAATTGGAAAATATTGAAAATTAATTTTTTCAATCGAAAAAACAAGCTCTAAAAGTGATCAACTTAGGCCCCGTTTTGCATTAGCGTTAGCGTTTTGAAAAAACTATCTGGCGTTTTCAGAATTAATCTATACCATTAAAATTTTATCCAAAACGCTAACGGTAATAAAAAATACAATTTCCAAACAAGGCCTTAGACTAGTTCTGTTCACCTTAACTTGAACTCGAATGTGAAGTATGAAGGCTGATGACTAGATTCTTGAAACTCAAAATTTCTAATTCTCCGTAATCGGTAACATGAACCTAGATTAAAGACTTATTCTTTTTATCTTATTTTTAACCAGAATCTAGAGTCTAATAATTAGAGTTTGAAACCTGATAATTGGAGCCTAGATTAAAAACTCCATCCATTCATAAAGTATATCTTATTATCCAAGAAATCCCAAGAGTACATTTCTGGATTGGAGATTCTCTATATATCTGTGTCTTATATGTGTGTGCTTTCTTTGATACCAATTCTTGTTGTGTGTGTGTGTATATATATATATAAACCCAACCAAGAGAGCTCTCATTGAATAATCCCCACACATCCAAAAGAACATCATCATATCATATAGAAGAAGAAGAAAAGAAAAGAGTTTTGAAATGGCACAAAAAAATCATGAGGGTTATTTGGAATTTATACCTCCAAGTGAGATTTTAGGAGAGACAGATGCTACTGCCCTTACAGTCATTAAAGTTTATTTGCCAGGTAATGAATATCATTCATCTTCTTCTCCTTGGAGGTGAATATACATACTTCTTCCGTCTCGAAATAATCGTCTTACTTTTATCCATCACATCAGGGGCAAAATTGAAAAGTCAACCAAAATTACACTTTCCTTATTTTTGTCCAAAGTCAAAATGGGAAGGGCTTAAAGAAAGCAGAGACTAGGGAGTAGTTAATGCATGCAATAACCAAATATAAACTCTTATAAACTGTTGATAATCTTAGGCCAAAAAAACAAAAATTAGTAAATAGAGTTAATCAAATTGACAATCTACACTTATAAGATGAGGATGCCTATATCTGCTGCAGGTTTCAAGATTGGGGAATTGAAGGTTACGCATGTTCAAGGATGCGAACCAGAAAAAATAAGGATCGCGGGAAAAAGGCCAAGAGAGGGTAATACATGGATCTGGTTTACAAAAGAGTTCCCCATCCCACCAGATTGCGACACCGCAGGTGAGATCAAAGCTAGATTTGAAGGCGGCATTCTGAGCGTCACGCTACCAAAAAAGACCGCTAGTGTGCAAAAGCCCGATGAAACGAAGGAGCCGAAAGAGAGTAGTGGACAAGAACAACAGCCAAAAGGACAAACAGACACTACTAAAAACCCCCAAGCAAGCACAAAGGGTGTTGCTCCTCCTGAACACAACCCTGATGATCATGATCAAAAGTCAACCAATGGCTCTGTTCAAGAGACAAAGAACAAGAAAACTGAAGTACCCGCGGCTCCCAAAGTAAAAGGGAAGGCTGGCATTTCAGAAGAGGAGCCGAAACAAGAAGAGTCAAAAGGACAAACCAACACTACTTCCCAGGCAAGCGCAAAGGTTGTTGCTCATCCAAAGACAAGGGAAGAGGAGAGCTCTGAAGCTGTTCGAGGAGGATCAGACCCTCCTCCTCCAAAGCCTCGAGAGTCAAACAAGAAAGCTGAAGAGCAGAAAAGTGGTGAACCCGCGAATCCCCAAGTAAATGGAGAGGTTGTGTCAGAGGATGAGGTGCCGAAACCAGAAGAGCCAATGAGCCATGTACAACAGGCAAAACAACTTGATGAAGTGAACGGTGCAAAGAGTGAAACTACTACTGATGACAATAAGAAAGAAGAAGGTGAAACCAAAAATGCAGTGAAGAGAAAGAATTATGAGTGTACCTTCACCAAAATGAGGCTGAGGAAGCGCGTGAAAATGTTGAATTTGGCTCTGGTGGTTTTGGCTGGCATTGGCATTGGACTGTATGTTAAGAACATGGTTAGATCCTATGGTGGGGAGGCTGATGAGTGAATACCCTGCACAGCTAGAATTGTGAATAACAACACAACTTACATGTGATTGATTGTATATTTATTGAATGAAATATGACAAAAAAAACATTTGAATAAAATAACAGCATTAAAGTAATTGCATGGATGAAAGTGCTCGAGGCATTTATATCTCAACAATTGAAAAATATATGTGTGATTATAGATGAGAAACTTAAGAGTATCTTCATTTTAAGAGCACACAGTTCAATGTTCTTAACTTTGAAGTTTTTTTAACTATTCATTAAAAGGGAAAAGGTGCATTGTATCAAATCCAAGCTGAACTTGTGTTACCATTGCGAAATTACAAATAAAAATATATAATATATTAATTCATTTAGCACTTGAATATTTTTCGTTGACTCTATAATTGTAAGCAATTGTTTTTGAGAAAAAAAGAAATACTTCAATACATGAATTATGACACAACTTCAAACTTTTTATGGTATTATTCACCTCAATAATAATAACAACAAGAATAATAATAGTAATATTAATACTTATAATAAGCTATAATATGAAAAATACTCCTAAATAGATTTCTAAAGTCATTGTTGGAAGAACCTTGAAGGAGTTGAAATGAACTGGAAGTTAGAAAAAAATGGAAGATGTTGGAATAAACTAGAAAGAATGGGAAGATGTTGGAAAAAACTAGGTGTTAGAAGAAACTAGAAGGAGTTGAAATTTGTTCAAAGTTCATTTTTTCAACCCAAAAAACATGTTCTAAAAGTGATCAACTTAATTTAGTTCTTTTCATCTTAATTAATCCGGTGGGGTTCTAGTGACGCCGGAATTTGGTGACACTCCGGTGCCACTGTGATTTTGGGGCACTTCCGGTTCTCCGTTCGTAAAATTGACGGTTTCTACCCCTTAACCCACCCCCTAAACCCGCCCCTTGCACCCCCCACCCTACCCCCGTCTTTGCACCCCAACCCCAACCCCGCCGAAAGCCCCCCACAAAATGTGTGGCTATTATGCAATGCGTAATAGCCATAGATTTTGTGGGGGGCTTACGGCGGGGTTGGGGTGGGGGTGCAGGGGCAGGTTTAGGGGGTGGGTTAGGGGGGTAGGAACCGTCAATTTTACGAACAAAGCACCAGAAGTACCCCAAAATGACAGTGGCAACTGCTAGTGTCACCAAAAGTGGGTGTCACTAGAACCCCACCGTAATTAATCTCGACTCATAATTTCTCGAAACTCATAATTTCTATTAATTGGTAATGTGAACCTAGATTAAGAATATTATAAAATTAGAGTAATTAACTAGAAATTGACAACTGTAAGTTTGTAACCTAGTATAAAGACTTAAAATTTTTATTTTATTTAACTGGAATCTAGAGTCTAATAATTAGAGTTTGAAATCTGATAATAGGAAACTTGATTAAATACTCCATCCATATATCAAGTCGCTACTCTTTACATCTTAAAGTTTATTAATAAAAATGGTGAAAAGTATCTACTTAATATTTAATTTGTTTATAGAAGAGAAAATATTGTGAGAAAAATATATTTGTTCCTTAAGGCTTGATGCCAAGTAGGCTGCAATAAAACTTTGAGAAAAGGAAAACCAGCATGAAAAAAAAGGCATATCTATTTTCCAAGAAATACCAAACAGTACATTTCTGAATTGGAGATTCTTTGTGTGTGTTTTCCTTGACATCATTTCTTTTTGTCTATATAAACCCAACAGAGCTGACATTAAATCCCACCCCCACCCCCCACCCCCACACACACACACCTTTGGAAGAAGATAAAAACAAGAAAATAAAGACTTCTGAAATGGCATCAAAAGTTCATGAGGACTTTCAGCCTCATTTTGAGGTTTTAGAAGAGAAAGATAATGTTCCAGCCAGTATTAAGGTTCATTTTCCAGGTAATATCATCTTTTCATTGGGGGTGAAAATAATCAAAATATGTATATTTATGAGTGATGATTTATCTATCATCATCCTGTTTATTTGATCTAACTAATTAGCAACAACAATAAACACATTATAATTCCAATGTTCTCGGGGTCTTGGGATCAAAGCGGGTGCAATCTTACATTGTACTCCCCCGTTCCACCAAAAAGTTCCATGTTTCTTTTTTTTCATTCGTCTTAAAAAAGATTCCACTTTCTACTTTTAGAAACGTTTTTGTGGCTCAAATGACTTTTCCTTGCACCACTTTCAACTCCATATTTTCACCTTTTGTTAATAACATCTTGCACTCTTGATGCAACTGTAACATTTAAGACCCACAACTAAATAGAAATCAAGTAAAGTTCGATTCATGTGCCATTTGATTTAGCCCATTGTTTGTCCAACATTAAAAAAACTTTTTGTTTCATGTGTGCGGGCATTGACTCTTTGTGCTTAAGTGTATGTTGGGAAAATAAATATGAACTGATACTACATTGTAAAAGAATTAATAGTGTGCCTCTGTATCTGCAGGTTTTGTCAGGAAGGAAGAACTAAAGGTTCAACTTATAGGAAAACCCACGCCGCACGAACTGTGGATCAGTAGAGAAAGGAAATCCGGGAGTGATAAGAAACGGTGGAGGTTTAAAGAAGAGTTCCCCGTTCCAGCGGATTGCGACACTGATGCGATTACAGCAAAATTGGAAAATGGCATTCTACGGGTCACGCTACCAAGAAAGACCCCAAGTGCAAAAAGACAGGAAGAAACCAAGACTTTGCAGGCAAGCACAAAGGTTGCTCCTCCAGAGCCTAAACCTTTACAACCTCAAAGTCCAACCGGCGGCGATGTTAAAGAGAGGAGGGAGAAGGCAAGCTTTGAGGCTGTTCGAGGAGATGGAAAGGCTGTTTCAGGAGAGGTGCAGAAACCGGAAGAGCCAAAGAGCCTTACACCACAGACAATCAAGAGAGAGGGTTATGACGGTACCTGCCTTGAAATGAATCTGATGAGGCGTGGAAAAGCGTTGAATTTGGCTCTGGTGGTTTTGGCTGCCATTGGCATTCGACTGTACGTTAAGAACATATATGATTATTAGAACCGAAGCCGAAGAACGAATATCGTGTAAATATTCAGGACATATATTAATGTATGGCAGTGCACAGCTAGAATAATTGTGAATAACACAACTTACATGTGATTGATTTTATATCTACTGAATGTAATATAACAATTGACAAGGATTTGAATAACATAACAACATTAAAGTGATTGCATGGTTGATGGAAGTGCTTAAGGCATTTATTTGCACAGAAATTGCATAGAAAAAAAACTAAAACTGGAAGTTGCACAGAAATTAGTCCGATCCCATAGTGATTCGAACCACAAAAAGTGGCAAAAAAAAAAACAGTTCAGCAAGTGGTAAAGTTAATGCTGAGACCAAATTAAAAGAAAACAAGTCATGGGACCACAAGTTGAGTATTTTATTTATTAATTATATACAGAGTACAAAGTATTTATTGATGGATGATGTTATGCATAAAAAAAATTAAATTTCTTTTATAAAATTGAGATTATCTTAAATACATTTGTTGAGTGGTTAAAATAGGATACTTGTGAAAGATGTTTATGTGTTCTTTTCATAAGAATGGATTCCTAGAAGAAGAAACCTTCAGATTTCAAGACAAGTATGCTCCCACAAAAGGAAAACTAGCATGAAGATAAAGTTATACATACAATATTTCCCAAGAAATCCCAAGAGTGTATTTCTGAATTAGAGATTCTCTCTGTGTATGCATATGGTTTCTTTGATATCATTTCTTCTTGTGTATATAAACCCAACAGGGCTCATATTGAATCCCCACACGGATAAACGCCTTCGGAAGAAAATTGTAGAAGAAGCCGAAGATCAAACAAGAAAGAGAAGAATTGAAGCAGTGGTAAGATTAAAGCAGTGTTTCAAAGCGGCAGCATTCTAAGTGTCACACTACCGAAAAAGACCGCTAGTGAGATAGAAAAACAACAGGATGAAACTAGAGAGCAGAGAGAGTGTTCACAAGCAGGCAAAAGGACAAACCAACAATACTTCCCAGGCAAGCACAAAGGTTGTCTCGGAAGAGGTGCCGAAATGAGAAGAGCCAAAGAGCCATACACAACAAGTGAAACCTACAGAACCGAATTAAAGATGCAAAAAGTATAACAGCAAGCCAAATTACTACTGACAATGAGAAAGAAGAAGGCGATACCAAAAACACAATCAAGACAGAGGGCTATGAGTACGGTACCTTCGCTGAAATGAAGCCGAGGAGGTACGAAAAAACGTTGAATTTGGTTCTGGTGGTTTTGGCCGCCATTGGCATTGGACTGTATGTTAAGAACATTTAAGACTATTAGATCTGAAGGTGAAGAATGGATATCATGTAAAACTTCAGGACAAATAATAATGCATTGCAGTCCACAGCTAGAATTGTGAATAACACAATATTCATGTGATTGATTGTATCCTTATTGATGGAAGTTGAGTTACACTTAAAATCATGTTTATAAACAAAGTTTATCCCAAAACACGTCTCTTTTTTGAACAAATCAACTCATGTGGATCTAGCTTTCAACAGCGTACGTCTCTTTTTTGAACAAATCAACTCATTCAGTTCTGTTTATGCTGAACAGATTATCAAATTCCCTACTATAAAAATATACTGGTGGGTTTAACATTTTACACACTATACAGAGTCTTAATGTACTACTTATTTTTTAAAAGAACAAGTCGCCCGGTAAAGTTGGAATTATTGTAGATAATTTTTTCTAAAATATAAGAAGTGATATGTTAATACTTTGTATAATGCGTAAAATATTAAACCCACCCGTATATTTTTATTTTACTTTTACTAATTTCAAGTTAGTTTCCATTGATTACCTTATTTATTTTATTATTTTTGTATCATTTTAGTTACATTTCTCATTTTTTCATTTTTTATATCTATTATTTTTATTTTTTAAACTAAAACTAATCTTTAAAAAAAGAAAAAGAAATGATGATGGAGGTAGAAAGTAATTTAAAAATTTAAATAAAAAATTTAAAAAAATAAAAAAATGAAAATTCATCAAAAATATTCCCAACTTTCATTTTGTTGCCTAAAACGAGCATTTCCGTTAACCTTCCGTTAGAAACTTAACGGCGACCCAAAACTGACAAATTTCAGTAAAATTGGGATTAGTATGCATCACAATGAAAGTTGAAATTATTTTTAAAAGATCGGGTAATGTTGGGATTATTTTAGGTAATTTTTCTCATACATGTTGTTCATACAAAAATGAAAGGAACCTTTTTTTCTCCGTTACAAACATGTTCTGGAGTATATAGGACTCCATTTGTGATTTGTTTTCGTTTAGATATGGCAATTAAATCGGAATTCGACTTTTATAAACCTGATCAAGCTTATAATATCTGAATTCGAACGAAAAAAAATCAAATATTCGAAACCAATTTGAAAAAATTTATATCGAACCCGACATGTGTCGGGTCGGGGTTGGGTTAGTATATTCGAATGACCCGACCTGTATCCTACTCGATCCGACTTTCAATAGTTTTTTTAAAAAAATATAATTTTGATTCACATGTTTTGAATTTTTTAAAACTTATTGCACTTTTTGTGTTTCATTTTTTTATAGTGGTTTAACCTTATGTGTCACTCCTTGCATTATTTTTCTTTATATTCCATATATTATTAGTTGAAACTTGAAACTTTATACTCCGTATTCCGTATATTTTTCTTTATATTCTGTATTTCTCTTAATTTTATGTCGTCTTTAAAATTATAAAATTTCAAAGTATTTCAATATTAAATCTTTTTCATGAATAATTATATTAGCATTCAAACTCTAATTAACCGTAACCGATCCGACCGAATCTTAAGTCGAATCCGAATCAAAAAAATAAATATGCAAAATAATTAAACCTGAACCAGACCCCTATCGGGCGACCGAACCAAACCAGATTGCCATCCCTACATCCCTACTTCCGCTCCTCTCACGGCAAAACCCTCTCACCCTTACAAAACTTTTCACCCACAATCAGATTTCTTTTCTTTCTCGATTTAATTTTAATTGGTCAAAAGGTATGTTCCTTCTTCCCTTTCCTATCTACTTTCATACTCTTCTTTTCACCAATTTTGGGATTTTATTGAAAAATTTTGGAACCTCAAATTGTCATTTCAATCTTGCTTACCAGTTTTCTATTTGAATTTGAAGAGGTATGCCAGTTTTGTTTTTCATTTGTTAAATTTTTTATTTCGAACTAGAAAGGGTCAATCTTAAATTTATAAATTTATTAATTTATTATGAGATTCTTTTATTTTATCAAATTATAATCAGTTCTTAGTTTTTGGGAAATTAGTATCAGATTCTGTTTTAGTCCAGTTATTATCAAATTAGTATAAATTCGTGTTTTTTTGTTATTTGGAATTAGATGCGGTCATCTGTATAATTGTTGAATCTTTTTATTTTGTTTTGATTATAAAAAAATTGTCATTTTTTTATTCCTCCCAAGTGAAATTTACGGTTTTTTAAAATCTTTTTGATTTCCTTAAAAAGGTGTTACAAATCTTTTTGATTTCATAAAAAGAATGTTACAAAGTTGTTTTAAAGTCTGTATCTTTATTCCATACGAAGTTTTTTTTTCCATCACATTTTGATTTTGTTTTTCATTCATATAGATTTTTCTCCTGACATTATTTTTCAAGGCTGTATCTTTATTTTTTGTTTTAAAGCTTCTTATTTGTTGTATTAGACTAGAGTGCTTCCACCTTGGGTGCATACTATTTTTGCGGAACTTCTCACATTAAAAATGTTTATTTTTAATTAAAAAAATTAATGTTTATCTAAGTATTAAAGAATTGCTTATTTTGCTGATTAGGTCCACCATAGAAATTGCCATTAAACTAAAATCATATACCTGCATATTTGATTGAGTAGTTGCTCACCAAACAGCAATGAAAGAAATGGGAGAAATCAGAGGAGAGACAATGGAAGGAGGAGGAGACAAGAAGGCAGAGGTGATTCTGGTGCGCACGTTGGGTGCGGATGAGCCGAAACACTATGACGAAGATGGCGTGTACTGCCGGCGTGTAAGATTTCACCAGGTGGATCTGAGTGAAGGTAAAATAAAGAGCAACTGCTTTCCTTCAATGTTGAATCGTATCGGAGATGGTGCTATGGTGCGCTCGGACCGCGGTCCAGCGGTTTACCTTATAGGCGGTCTGACCCGCAGAGACCAAACATGTGAACCAATAGATGGAGCCAGTTCTGATGATGTGTACTACAAATGCGGCTGTCGGATGGACTTGCAGAAAGAAGAGGAAGGTAGGGTGTGGGAGCAGATTGATCTTCCTATCAAAAATTGCTATATTCCCTTTTGCGCATCGCTGTTTGGAAAGCTTTATGAGTTTGGATTTCGCTGCCTCCACACTCCCGAGGTTTTTGATCCGAGTGTCGGATTTTGGAAGGAGTTGTCCCCTTTGCCCCCTGAGCTTGTCGGTTGCCGTGTTTCAGATGGAGGAGTTATCTCCGACCCTCAGAATTCCCGTTTTCTTGTGCACCTCTATGATGGAACCCTGTATGCTTTCTACCCCGGTTCTGGTGAGTGGGAGCGTAATGGGAGTCTGTTTCACTGGAGGTATCGTAATGTGGTTCTTGNGGTTACTTGGTCCTCAAAGAAGTATGAATACAGCAATGGTTATCGTGTTAAAGTGACCAAGTATGAGTTTGATGCTATGTTTTATGTTGGCGGTGGCCATTTCCGGATGGCTACTTGGTCTCCTTGTGATGGAGATGAAGGAACCACCAGTAGTGCTTCTACTATGTTCTTCAAGTTCAAAGTTGATCGCCCCAACAATGGTCTCAACGTCGTTTGCACTCCCGTTGATGTCCAATGCCATGATATCCCAAACACCATCGAAGTTACAGGGTTCCTACTGCTCTAGGTTCATATATTCTGCAACTCTCTTTCTCTTCATTTAAATGGAATGTTTCACATGCATGACGTGATGCTAAATGCTACTCATATGATCCTTCTTGCCCACTTTAAGCTCCCTTTGTTGAAACTCGTGGACTTTTTCTATCTTTTGTGGTACCCTGTGGAAAAGTGTTTTCGGTTAAGTGTATTAGAAGCGAGATCACACACACACCCACACAAGTAATCAGTAGGTTTTGTAGGACTGTAGAAGTAGTGACAAAACATGTTAGCTTGCGTTTATTTGTGGCCCATAAACTCAACTTGTTTTACTCATCCCTGTTGAAGTGATTAATTTAGTATTGGCTGGAAGAGAATTGCGTAAGTGGGATAGATTGTAGAGGCGAGTGGAAACTGCGGGAAAGTATGTACATGATGAATAATGGCATGTTACAACCTAATTGGTCGATTTATACGTTGTTGCCACAATTTCGTCTAAGGGGTCATTAATGTGTAATATTGGAATTGAATTTAGAAAATGCTACAACCTAATTGGTGAATTTACTTTGTTGCCACAATTACATCTAAATGAGGATGATACCTTTCTGGTTTTGACTTTTAAAAGATACATCTAAATGAGGAGATTTCTTTTCTCTTCAAAAACATCAAAATGAGGATTCATTTTTTTCTCCTCTACATCTAAAAGTGTTCAATCTTTTATCTTTGCAGGAGGCAAGCAATTGATTGTGGGGTGCTTCCCATTAAGGCTATTGAATGGTTGCCATGTCATCTTTGGTTGACAAATAAAATATGCTTTATTTGGTGGTGTATTCCATTTAGTGTTTGCCTATTTATAGGTTGTTGTACCTTTCAAGTTACTCAAGTCCTTTGTCATTTCTTTGGGACAGTCGTTAATACGTTGTTCTTTGTAAAATTCATTGGTCGTCATATGAATGTATGCGTACTCGAGCAAATTTTAGCCGGCTGTTTTTCTGTACTCATACACTATCGCTCTTGCTTCTAATAGGAGACTTGGAGACTTCTTTTATGCATGTTTACTCCTAAGTTTTGGAAGGCACTGTACGTATGATGCCGTGTGGTTCGTGTTCTTGGTATTTATGGAGTAATAGAGGGTATTATCATCCCTTTTCTTTTATGAGTTTTCTTTTTACCCGAGTCTTTCTTGGTTTATGTTAGAATACGGAGTATATTGTTACGTTAGAATACGGGTTTTTGGGAAACTGGGTTTTCTGTTTACTCGGACCAGAGTTGTCACCGGTTTGCACTATGACTGGTTGGACCAACTGGTCTAGTCTGGGTTCAAAAACATTGCTTGAAAATAAAATGCACAGGTCGTAAATGGGCAACACAAATGAGCACTGTGTTTTGACCTGGTCAAAGTACGGGCTAGATCGGATTTTTGATCGGATTTTGCATATTATTGTTGTGCTAAACCTTTTCTTAGCAGAGAAGAAAACATTGAAACAACATGCACTGCTTGCAGATTAATTGAAACAGTTTGCATATTAGGTTGGTTTGATGTTGTTTAAGCTTTTATACTCTCTTCGTCCCCATTTTGATTACATTGATTCATAGTGTTTGTGCCTCACATTCTTTCTTTATATTTTAAAATCAATACCGGTCCCATAATTTTTCATTGTTCAGTTGTGTGTCACTAATCCATGTAACGAAAGTAAGGAGATAAATGAATCAAAACGTTTTATTAATCTTAGTTGAAAGACAAATGAACCAATTCAGTCACGCAAAAAATTTCAGTACTTCGGTTTTAGTATGTCTGAAAAAAGAGTTGAACAACTTTTTTTACTTGGCGAGTGTTTTTTAGTTTTATAAAAGTTGAATTAAGAATTTTTATGCAACGGAAGAAGTATTTAATATACATCCAACATATGCAAATTCAAGAATTATGAAATATTAATCTCACAAAATTATTATATTGATGTTTTAAAATTTATTTATTTCTTTTTTGCATATGTTTAGAACGTGCAGATTTTAGAAAAAATACATATCCAAAACAAAGGGTTGTGTAATGAGAGAATAGAGTGCACAATTATTTTGGTAAAATTTTTAAAACAAAATTTGTGGTCAAAATTAAAGATAATCTACGTTGAACGATAACAAAAATTTTTCTTGAGTGCACAATTTATTACTATAAAATCTGACATTAAATAAGAAAAAAGTTATGTTATTATTATTTTTTTTGGGAAGTTATGTTATTGATATAAGAAGAAGAAGAAGAAGAAAGTATATTTAGATAATATCTTCTCAATCCTTATTGGAAGAAGCAAGAAAAAGAAACTCGGGGAAAAAAAAGTTGGAAAAAAAGGAACAAAAAGGCTCTTCATATTACTTTTTCATATGAAAATATACATGTGTTTTTACGGACAAAATGCGCCACAAAGAGCTTGGTTGTCAAATAACCTACAAAAAGTGCCCTTTGTTTGAATTTGATTCAGATTGTTGATCTGGTTCAGTGTCTACATGCAATCCATCTATAGGGGTTAAGATTTGGGTTGAGGATGGACAAAGATCAGTCTTCAATTCAACAAAAAATGCACTACGAAAGCTTTGCTGGTTCTCATGCTTCTCAATTTGTGTTTTGCACTCCCCGAGTCCTAAGATGTGCGGCTCGCGAGATGTCCTCCTGAATACTATTCACCGTTCATAATAATAAGAAATTGCTTTCTGTGAAGAAAAGGTTCTCAAATACAAAAAATGAAGGAGCATTGTACTCAAATCTTTTGCTTACCATTACTGCTAAAAGGGAAACTAGAAATCTCCTTCAAGCAACCAACATTAATAGATCTAATAAAAAGACAGAAGACGAATGCAATTAAATTGTTGCAATGACTCAATAATAAAAAAAATATTTTAAAAGAAAAAAAGAAGATAAAGTTGAATTTATTTACCTGGAGTCTACACAGCAACACACAGTTTCAAACATAACCGTGTAATAATCAGGAAAGAAGCGAGCCAAATCTGCTTCAATATCAGTATCGGCTAATGAATCCCTGAACTGAAGATCAAACGAAAACATAACCCAACAAGTAAGATAAAGGCAATAGAGTGAGTAAATAAATGAACTGACAACATAGTTCAAAAAAACTGTAGCACCAAAGTGTTATCCACTACTGTAGAAACTAACTACTGTAATAACTATAAAAAAAGTTTGGGTGGGACTGTGGGAGGGAAAATGCAAAAACCAGATGAAAGAAAAAACAAAGAACACCGAGTTGCTTACCTTTCTTCCATGACACTCTTCATCCTTACTTGTCCGATATTCCAGATCATTTATATGCTTATAAACCGCCCCAACAAACCTAATCACATCATATTCTTCCTTATAAGGTTTAAGCTTATAGAAACCGGATGGCACTTGTTTCATAAGCTCTTGCTCTTTCTCCTCATTGTTACCTTTCTCCGCTTTTTCCCAAAGTTCATAATATGGACCAGACAATCTCTTCCACCATTTTTCGTAAGACCCACAGGTTACATCTTCAAGCTGTGTAGCAAAAAAGAAATTCCAAACATCCCTCTTTGATATCCTGCTGAGCTTATATGCAAAATTGACACGGTGGGATACAGGCCAAAAGTAGGGATGATCTAGCCAAAAGTATGGAGGTACACCCCTGAAAAGTAAAAAGTCAGGACCAAAGTAGGTAAATATTTAGCCTTTTACGCATTTGTTATCAATAAACCATAATAATGTTTTATGCAACTACTATAATAATGTTTTATGCAACTACTGATTGATGATACAATGATATGTAGGGTTTTGCTCTCACTTCCTATGTGGAGGCCCAAGTAAAGCCCAATCCTTCACAAGCTCATTCTTTGATGAAATAAGAGGTTAACAAGAGGTTGAGTTAGGGTGGAGTGCAGAAAAAACGAGAGAGAGAGAGTGCAGAAAAATCAAGAGAGAAGGAAGCTGTTCATTTTCGGATTTCTGTGCGCAGCGTTTTTCAGACTGCTGTTTGGAGGGTCAAACGGTGCCCGATTGTTCTGAAATTTTAGGGGCAGGTTCGGGACACATTGAACTTGATTTCCATCGGTCAGTTTTGGATTTGAAGGTCTGCAGGCAGAGATATTTGCATCTGAACAGAGGCAGTATTTTCTGGTTTTTCTGCGTATTCTCTAGTTGTTTGCTCCTTGTTGTGGCAGTATATTTGCAGTATGTTTATACTGATTTGAGCCCTTGTTTGAGACACTCTTGTACCCTATTTCTGGTCATAGTGGAGCTTGCTTGGTGGTCTTTGTGACCCGTAGTTTTTACCCTCGATTTGAGGGGTTTTCCACGTGAAAATTCGGGTGCATCGTGTCTTTATTGTTTGTTCTTATTTTCTATTATCTTGTTGCTGTTTTTTATCCTCTTACTCTTGCAATTGGGGAATTTGTATTTGGTGTGGTTGTATTCTCTTCAAAATTCCCACCATGATAGACTTCTAAAAAGAACAATCTAAATTAAAACTAATGAAAACAAACAAAAGTAACTTACGGCTTATACTTGCAAGTAAAATTGAAGAAATGCACCAACTCTGAAGACAAATTCACCGCTAGCTCTGCATCTTCGGTCTTCTTGACATCATCAATGAATGGGAAGGTAATGACACGCTTCATAAGGCTTGTCAACTCCTTTGCATCATCTTCAACATCCTTTGAGCTATAGCCCTTCTCTTCATTGTCATCCATCGAAGGCAATATACGCCCCTCGCCATTGCCTGTAACAAAGGTGTTGAAAGCTATGTGGCCACACCCACGTTGACAATTGAAGTATAAGTGTAAAAGGCCTTGAACCACGTCCCTGCAAAAATGTAAAAGCAAAGGTAAACAATATGTTATTAACAAAACTTGAGCAAAAATGTAAAAGCAAAGGTAAACAATATGTTATTAACAAAACTTGAGCTAATGATACTAAAAAACCAAATGCATAACAGCTTGAGCAAACAACACAATACATCACCCAAGATAGTAATAGTATGTACAAAACCTATGAGACTGGATTTACTAGATGTGCCTAGAGATTCAAAAGATATAGATGTGATAGTTGTAAAAAAATCACCAAATCATACACGGAAGAATAAAAAAGAGCAGCCCCAATTGATTGTAGGATTAGCACAAGAATGTCAGATTCACAAGTCACAACTTAGTTTGTTTTTATTAAAAAAACCAATAGTACCCAAAAGGTCAATGTCACGTCAATCGGAATCATAAATCTGAAAACTTACCTAAACATGCACTGAAACTCATGTTCAATGAACTGCCACCATATTTCGATTGTGATGGGGGTATGCACCGTCGATTCCAAACAAGAGAGCTTTCTCTTAAAGTACTCCTCAATGGTACTTACTCGTTCTGTAAGTAAATGAGGGCCTTCAATGTGTGCACTGTCATCGCGTGCTACATGGAAGATGGTCAACAGGTTCCTATGTGATGCACATAACTGCCTGAGGCTCTCAAACAGAAGAAGTTGCTTGCCAGTAGGCTTCACCAAAGACATCCCTATTTCCTTGCCCATGCCAAGCATCTCCACCCTCTCACAGGAATCTATAATGCCATCAAAATGGGTGAAGGAATAAACATTTTCAAACTTCTTCCCGAATAAGTCTTCCTCATTCTTCGAGCCCTGAAAGACTTCCTCCACCTCGGTATCTTCCCTTTTATCTAAACTCTTTGCATCCATCTCTTGTGATCCCTTGTCACCTTTTATGGCGGCTTGTTCCTTCTTGGAGAGTCTTTTTTTCTGTCTTTGATTTTTCTTCTCTGCTCTCTCTCCAGGTTCTTGTGCCATTATCTCTTCGGCAAGTTTCTCCCTCGCTGCATTGGATTCACTGGTCCATTGTTGAAGGGTGGCCTTATGTGCCTTCTTCCACTCCTCAGATGAACCCGGGTGATTGTATGCAAACATGTATGTGTTAATGGCAGCATCCAGGTAATCAGGACCCTTCCGATAAAAGCCCTCACTGCAGCAGAAAATAAAAAATAAACAGCCGCATACAGTGTGCAATAAAAAGACTACGCATAAAGAGGAAGTAGGGAGAAGCGTGTGTAACAACTTACGCTAATATAGACACAATTTCTTCGAAATTCACCACTCTATGAAGTGAACGGTCTCCGCGTAATATAATGGAATCGGTTGCATGTTGGAACGCAACTGGGAAAAAAACAAATTATCAATAATTATCACCACACATGTGCCACTAAAGCTGAAATTTCATGACATGCTTCTCAATTTGTGTTTTGCACTCCCCGAACACCGAGTCCTATGATGTGCTGCTCGCGAGATGTCCTCCTGAATACTGTTCACCGTTCATAATAATAAGAAATTGCTTTCCATGAAGAAAAAGTTCTCAAGTACAAAAAATGAAGGAACATTGTAATCAAATCTTTACATACCATTTGTGCTAAAAGGGAAACTAGAAATCTCCTTCAAGCAACCAACATTAATAGATCTAAAAAAAAGACAGAAGACGAATGCAATTAAATTGTTGCAGTGACTCAATAATATAAAAAAAATATTTAAAAAGAAAAAAAAAGAAGAAGATAAAGTTGAATTTGTTTACCTGGTGGAGTCTACAGAGCAGCACACAGTTTCAAACATAACCGTGTAATAATCAGGAAAGAAGTGATCCAAATCTGCTTCAATATCAATATCGGCAAATGAATCCCTGAACTGAAGATCAAACGAAAACATAACCCAACAAGTAAAATAAAGGCAGTAGAGTGAGTAAATAAATGAACTGACAACATAGTTTAAAAAAAAAAATTGTAGCACCAAAGTGTTGTCCACTACTGTAGAAACTAACTACTGTAATAACTAAAAAAACAGTTTGGGTGGGAGGGAGATTGCAAAAACCAGATGAAAGAAAAAATAAAGAACACCGAGTTACTTACCTTTCTTCCATGACACTCTTCATCCTTACTTGTCCGATATTCCATATCATTTATATGCTTATAAACTGCCCCAACAAACCTAACCACATCATATGCTTCCTTATAAGGTTTAAGCTTATAGAAACCGGATGGCGCTTGTTTCATAAGCTCTTGCCCTTTCTCCTCATTGTTACCTTTCTCCGCTTTTTCCCAAAGTTCATAATATGGACCAGACAATCTCTTCCACCATTTCTCGTAAGACCCACCGGTTACTTTTAAAAAAGCTGAAGGAAAAAAAATTTCCCAACCATCCCTCTTTGATATCCTACTGAGCTTATATACAAAATTGACACGGTGGGGTACATGCCAAAAGTAGGGATGATCTAGCCAAAAGTATGGAGGTACACCCCTGAAAAAGTAAAAAGCCAAGACCAAAGTAGGTAAATATTTAGCCTTTTACGCATTTGTTATCAATAAACCATAATAATGTTTTATGCAACTACTATAATAATGTTTTATGCAACTACTGATTGATGCTACAATGATATGTAGGGTTTTGCTCTCACTTCCTATGTGGAGGCCCAAGTAAAGCCCAATCCTTCACAAGCTCATTCTTTGATGAAATAAGAGGTTAACAAGAGGTTGAGTTAGGGTGGAGTGCAGAAAAAACGAGAGAGAGAGAGTGCAGAAAAATCAAGAGAGAAGGAAGCTGTTCATTTTCGGATTTCTGTGCGCAGCGTTTTTCAGACTGCTGTTTGGAGGGTCAAACGGTGCCCGATTGTTCTGAAATTTTAGGGGCAGGTTCGGGACACATTGAACTTGATTTCCATCGGTCAGTTTTGGATT